TTGGTTTACAAAGCCTTAAAAATACAATCAGTTCAACATATCCATTAAAATGGCTACAATGAAAAAAAAAAAAAAAACTCTCAGAAAATAACAATAACTCGTGTTGAGGAGAAAGTGGACAAAACCCATGTACAGTGTAGGTGGAAAAATAAAATGGTGCAGCCACTACTGGAAAGAAAACAGTATGGTGGTTCCTTCCAAAATTAAAAAATAGAGTTATCACATGATCCAGCAATCCCATTTCTGGAAATTGTATCACAAGTGAAATTAAGATCTTGAAGGAATGTTTATAAACTCATGCTCATAGTAGCACTATTCACAATTACCAACAGGTGGGAGCATCCGAAGTGTTCAGGGAATAAACAAAATGTGGTATACAACAGGATATTATTCAGTCTTAAAAAGGAAGGAAATTCTCACACTTGCTACAACAAAGATTAACCTTGAGGACAATATGTTAAACGAAATAAACCAATCAACTGTATGATTCCACATATAGGCAGTGTTTAGTTATCAAATCCACAGGAAAGCAGAATGATGGTTGCCAGGGACAAGGAGGAGGGGGAAATTGATAGTAGTTGTTCAGTGGTTATAAAGTTTCAATTTTACAAGATGAAAGAACTCTGGAGATCGGTTACACTTCAACACTACTGAATTGTACACTAGGAAGTGATTAAGATGGGAAATTTTATGGGTCTTTTTAAAAAAACCACAATTGTAGATTTTACATGTTATATTTTTCTAAAAAAGGTCATGTCTGGCAAACTTATATGGTTTATTTATTTTTAGTGCAAAAACACAAATTTCTATATAAAACTCAATGGACATACAAAAATAGTTCATTCTTCATGCTCTAGGAGACACAGAAGGATACAATTATTTTTAAAATTCCAAGACCTATAGTTAACTTAAAAATCTCATCATACTTTTACCAAAAATACTGAGCAACAAGAAGATTGGCTTATCTTAGTTTCAAATTATTTTTTTAATCTTCTAGTTAAGCAGAAAACATACACAGCACATACACAAGTAGCAGAAGGCTAAATAAAATCCATCAACTGGATAATTAGTTCAACAGTAAAAAAAAAAAAAGTTATTTTTATTAATTAAGATCAGTTTCTTAATAGAAAACGAATGCAACAACACATTTAAATTAGATTATTTCTTCTAGTTGAGAAACAGGTATGCTAGTCTTACATAAGATTTTAATGTTTCTAAAGAAATACCTAAAAAATTTTTAAATGTACTTTAAGACATATCTATGAACATGCACAGTAAACTAACCCAACTCTTTTTTTAAAAAAAATTTAAATTGATTTCACTCTAAGCCCCACACTGGGGATCCAGCCAGCAACGAGGGCTTGGCTGGGCAAACCCAACTCTTTATCATGTATGCATAACAATTTTTAATTTCACCACCAAACACATTATTGCAAGTTCTTTAAAAAATAAATAAAAGAGTAATCCTCCTGCACTTCTTACATACTATTCTTAATATACAACAACAAAACGTACCACAAAAATCTTAACCTTGAGCCTAAATACCAATGAATTGCAAAGATGATGTAAGTCAGCATGTAGAAAGATTGGAAGAGTGGGCATTCTTCAAACTGCACAAAATGCTTTACAGTGGAACACATGAACTACCTACCACACTTATCAGACTAAAATAACATACATCAGTGGTACATACATGTGGAAGAGTGCACTTATATTGATTTCATATAAATTGAGCCACAAAAATTAGACACATAATACATGCTTAAAGCTTTGCCTTGAGATGGAAGCCAGTGGTCTTAACCCTACAGAAATTCATAAGCAAAGGTCAGTTTTTCTACCAGGTAGGTTCATATGCTCTACTGGAAACTATCAACTCATGTTTAGCAAAAATTAACTATTTATAAAATAATCTAAACTGTAACATAAAAACAAAAGTGTTTTAAGTTACTGCCAGTCCTAACACAATGCCTTGTTGAAAAGAGATCTGTGCGACTAGAATGATTCTACTTTCTAAAGTCCAAAGTAAATTAAAAATAATCTATTTGGGGAGAAAACAAATTGTGAAGGGGAACTAGAATAGACAAATCTGATGCTCAAAAAATAATTGATGCTAGATGCCAACTTAGGAATGTACTGTTTTAACCAGAAAGAACCCCTTTTAAAGCAGTGAATCCAATGTTTGTCTTTTAATTTTAAGAGGCATAGAAAAGATGTATGAGGTGATGAGAAGAGGAACTAAAACAGAGATTTAGAAGAACTTGCAAGAGTTTTTAAGTGAATGGAAGTGTAAAGGTTCTAGTTTAAATGCTTTGTTTTCCAAGTACTCAATGTTACCACTCCTAAACCAAGCAGTGGGCATTATCTCATTTAATCTTCACAATAACTGCTAATTTAGCCATTATTGCCATCATTTCAAAAGGAGGACTTAGGCTCAGAAGCATTCAGTAATTTGCCCAAGCTCACAAAGCAAACAGAGTGAAAAGGGTGGACTCTCACTCAGAGGTGTTTGGCTCAAGATTCTATGCTCCTAACCACCAGACAAGTCTTCAAACAAGTGGAAATCAAAGTAAAATTGTAACAAGAAAAAAGTTATTAATGAACGAGAGAGGATCTTGATTTTTTAATGACCTAAATTAAAGAGGAAGTTAAGGAATGCTCATTCTCAGAGATTTTACTTTGGTGATTCAATAACAGTTTTTTAAAAAATTCGAAGGAGTCTGGTCTGAAACCTAAAAAAGAGCCTTTTGACATTCCTTTGAAATCTAAAAATCTTTATCAATTTCTGTTAAATAAAGCCAGTCCCCAACCCTAAGGAAGCAACATTCAAGGTCCTATGCTAAATCTATTGTAACCATGCCCATTCTCTGTTCTGAGTTCTTCTAATTCTTCAACTATCAGTCTCCTAGACCTTCTTTTAAAAAGACAAAATTGTCTCCCTCACCCAGATACTGGCTGCTTATTTAAAATGGAAAAGTTGTAAGGAGAAAACCCCTGCTCCTCAATCTCTCAGTTATCTTTACAAAAGTCTAAAAATTATCAGTTAGGAAAGGACAATAGCAAGACATCTATACCAAGCAGCATCTAAAATCGTTAAGTAGCCACCATTTATTAGGCAATGAACTCAATTTCTCAGTTTTAAGAACCGCTGTATTAAGAAATATTCAATCTTATCCCAATTTTTGCTGATTTTTCAAATGAGAAAAAGTTTAAAATAACAGATGGGACTGAAGAAAATCTAAGAACTAAGAGTTAGGGTGATGCATAATAACTACTTAATTCATTCATATTAAAGACACTTAGGAAATTCTCAACTGATGAATTACAAAGAACAAATAAGTACAATATTGCCTTTGAAAAGGAAGTGACTGGTGCATAACTTGCTGCACAGTATTAAGTATAATTCAGCATATAAAACGGACAGCAAATTGGCACTACACAAAGGTAATCTGCCTTAGGTTTACAGTGTAACAGCCGCATCATTTCATCAAAAACACGGTGATCACTTCTGCAAAATTAATTGCAATTTATTTTTGGCAACTCTTGGAAGTCAGTCTAGACTTGTTTAGTCACTTTTAAATTTTATAAGTGCTTTCTCTGGTATATACAAACTTAGAATTTATCTTGAATTAGGTAAACAATTTTTCTTGAATTTTGGCCTTACAGAATAAGGAACAAAAAGGCACCTACAAAATAGCAAGAACATAAACAAGTTTATCTCCTGTTGGTTATGATAAGGGTAAAATTAATCTCTCCTTGAAAAGTGGAAGGACTTAACCGTAAAGTCAATCTACTAACCATAACTCTTACCATAAATCTCCAATCCCTTAAAATAATTTCCTCAAAGGCTAAAATAACAAACTGGATTTCTCTCTCTCTCTCTCTCTCTCTCTCTCTCTCTCTCTCTCTCTCTCTCTCTGTGTGTGTGTGTGTGTGTGTGTGTTCGCGCGCAGGGGCTGGGCTAGGAGGGTGTCACGTTTAATCCCACCGGTTCACCTAACAATTCTTAATCCTGCACTATACCACTTGGCCTCAAACTCGCATGAAGTTCTAACAAGAATGATTATTTACTCCGGATATTTTTGAAGATCTTCTTTTAGCTCCGATCACATTACTTTTTTTTTCCTTCTCAATCTCATTAAAAAAAAAAAAAATGTTTGCCTAACATACAGACAGCCGCTACATGTTCACACGCTTCAAGAACTACCGAGGCACCTATTCCTTCCTCATGTCTGGGCTCCCTCTTGACAGACAGGAGAACACGAACTCTCAATTCTGACGTTCTCTTTCAAATGTGGCTATTTCTCTCCATCGCCGCCGTTACTCCGAACCTCCCAGTCCCGGCAACTTTTTCTTTCGAGGCGGTTCAACACAAAACAGAACCCGCACGTGCACACTGGAAAAAAGTTAGCGTCTCGGGCCGTCGCGGCAAACCCCCGCCGGCACAAAGGCAGGGACCCCGCCGCCGCCGCGGGGCAGCCCGTGAGTCCGACCCCGCGAGCCCCTCGGCGGGGAACCCGGACCGCGATGCCCCTTCGGGAGCCGGGACCCGCGAGCGAGGTCCGCCCGGGGCCGAGCGCTCAATGGAAACAGAGAGGATGGGGGCGGGAAGGAGCGGAAGCTCGGGGACAAACGGCGGCGGCGGCTCCCTCGCCCGTGGCTCCAGGCGAGGGACCTCGATTCCCACCCGAATTGGGGTCGGGGCAAGCGGGCTTCCGGCGGCGGACAAGGAGGGCGGTGCGAGGCCCCGGCGGCCGCGGAGGGCGGGCGGGCGGGCCGGGCCCAGCCCCCGACCCCGGGAAGCACTTTGGAGCGTCTCCCGCCCCCCTCGCCAAGATGGCGACGTGGACAGAGGGGGAGCCCGGCCGCGAGGCTGGGGGAGCGAGGGGAGGGGAGAGGAGGGGAGGAAAAGGCAGACACAAAAAGGCGGTCCCCCGAACGAACGCCGAGGCCGGCCCGCGAGCCCAGGCGGCGGACGCGGCGGGCGGAGGGCAGGGGCTTACTTTTTCTTGTCGTTCGCGCCTTCGGCGCCCTCCATGGCGAATCGGTGGCCGCGATGCCTTCACGGCCAGCGCCCCCCCGGGCTCGCTCCGGCCTAAGCTCGCTCTCTCTCTCCGCACGCGGGGGAGAGGAGGAGAGGCACGACCGGAGGCGCGCAGCCCCTCGGCGGCTCAGACGCGGGAGGAACCGGCCGGCGGCGGCGGCGATCGCAGGACTCCGGGATGGGCTCCGAGGAGCCTGCCCTCCCGCAGCTTGTCAGGGCCGGGCCGTAGACCGACCGACTGCAGCGGCGACGAGCGCGATCCTCGCGTCCCCTCGGACGAGGCTGCTCTGCGCTCCGTGGCGCTGAGGCAGCGGCAGGGGGCGGGCAAGGGCGGCGGCGCGCGCGGGGGCGCGCGCGGGGGCGCGCGGGGGGGGGCGGAGGAGAGAGTCGGGGACGCGGCTGCCCGCGGAGCCCGGCGCGCGTTCCCGCAAACCCGCCTCACCTGAGGGGGAGGCGGGTTCCCGGGCAGCCAATGGCGAGCGACGCAGGCGGCCAGGCCCCACCCCAACCCACGTTTGCCTCAGCCAATGGGGGGCCGGTCAGCTGAGGCACAGCTGGGCAGCGCTCACGTGCTCGTCTGTGTGCAGCTGCGGAGGAAAGAGAGAGGGTTTGGGCTGCGGCCAGCCCTGTCTGGAAACCTGCGTGCGTTTTTTTGTTTTTTTTTCAAAACCAGGGAAGACAGTAGTTGACTTTGGGAGGCGCTGGCTGAAAGGGGGATTTCGATATGTGGGTTTCAAGTCTGCAGCACATTTCCTGCTCTCCTTTCTCCCTCGGCGGCAGTGCTTCTCTGCAGGTTTGCCGCCAGCTCTATGGAGCCCCAGTTCAGAAAGCAGAATTTTCAATGCGTAGAAGCAAGTCCTTTGGTCCCTTTGCTCAGATTGTGTTACAACGAGGTCTTTCTTGTCAGGTTACCTAACCACGGGCCATGCCACGGACCACACACTCTTTGCCAGAGAACACACGGATAACTACTCTCCTTGTCCATTTGTTTGTGTGTGTGTGTGTGATGAAGTTTGATTACTGAGTAAATGGCAAACAAGAAATATAAAATAAATTATTTTTGCTGCAAACCTCTCAAGGGAAGTAGGTTAAGGTGGTAGGGGTATCTTAAAATCTGAAATTATTGTAAGCACTTAGAAATATATTTCTAAGTGCTTACAATAATATATGTATGTATGTATGTATGTATGTATGTATGTATAGCTTTAATTAAAGAGCATAAACCTGAATATCGGAGTAGGAAAAATGGCTTTCGGTAGACTTCTACTTTCTTGTTGCTTTAAAACGAGCCAAAAGATTATCATAGATGAATTGGAGGGGAAGAAAGAGAGAGAGAGAGAGGGAGAGAGAGAGAGAAAGAGAACCCTTAGTTTAAGACTTATCACCTGGAGTTGAGTTAACTATGGACTAGGAAGAGGAAGGATTCTCCACACCCCCATCAAATCCTGACAGGGGACTTCTGAACCAGAGTTAACTGGTTAAGCTAGCGGCCAGTATTACCTGTTTGCTTAATATGCTTGCTCTCTCTTTGAAAATTACTGAATAAGACTTAATCACTTTTTTACTTTGGAAGCACACATTTCAAGTCTGTCAGTCTTCTAAATGAAAAAAAAATGTATTCTGAGCTCAGTAAAGAAGCATTGTACGTATATCTCCACTTAACACTAGATTATTTTACTTCTCACCTTTGCCTTATTAGTAATACTAGAGGCCCAGTGCACAAAATTCATGCACTGAAGGGAGGAGGTCCCTCAACCTGGCCTGTGCCCTCTCGCAGTCCGGGACCCCTCATTTCTTACTGCCCACCTGCTTGGTGCCATGGAGCCTCTCCCACCACCCCTGCTGTGCTCACCAGGCATGAGCCAGGCTTCTGACTGAGCAGTGCTGTCATAGTGACCAGTTGTTCCACCATTTGGTTGGTTTGCATATTAGCCTTTTATTATATAGGATTGTTACAGTCTAGCTTTGGGTTGTGAATTAATGTGGATATTTGTAATGAATTTCAATTATATTGGTGTGTAAAAGCAATGGCCTATAAAACAAAGCATTAAATTCTGGTAAAACAACAGTCAATTCACATAGCACCTCTTTTTAACTGAGCAATAAACCCATAAGGATAATGGTTAAATATTGATCTTAATGTACTTCGTTCTTCAGATCTACAATACTAAATGATATGTCCTTTTAAAAAAAATACTGTGGGAAATGCCTGAAAACAAAAAAGGACCAAAAACAACTAGTCATTTCTCGGTTTAATTTTGGAAGGAACAACAGTATCCGGGACCTGCAGACTATTACGCTAAGCAAAACAAGCCAGAGAGAGACAAGTATTACATGATCTCACTTATGTGTGGAATCTAATGAACAAAATAGACCCAGAGACATAGAAGCATGGAACAGACTGTTGTATCTCAGAGGGAAGGTGGGTTGGATAAGTGGGTGGAAAGAGATCAACCAAAGAACTTCTATGCATGTATACATAACCCATGAACACAGACAACAGGGTGGTGAAAGCCTGGATTTGGGGACTGGGGTGGGCTAGAGGAGGTCAGTGGGGGGGGGGGGAAGAACTTTCCAAGTAGACTTGCAGATGACTCAATTGGCCCTTAACCTATATTTAGTAGGAAGTTGGACAGTGATTCAGGAAGAGGCAACTTAAATTTGAAATTTGGATTACTACTAAATGATACAGAACACTGAGTCTTTTAAAGAGTGAAACACATCAGATTCAGATAGTTTAGAATGTATTAGACTATGTAAGAAAACCTAGTGTTTAATAAGTAGTTCTTGGCTTATTATTATCCTTAGTTTTCACTGCCCTCCCTTTGCCCTATTCTATTACAAGAACAACACAATGTATAATATTTGGAAAGACAGTGCTTAAAAGATAATAGTCATACAAAGTCCTTTTTTTTCCTTTCAAGGATCAACACAAAATAAATGTGCATCTTTGCATTTATGGAGAATAAAAATAGACTGAAAATTTGACACCAGCACTTTTCAATTTAGACATTTTAAGCATAAAATTGCAAAGGGAGCCCAAGGGGTTTTTGTTTTTTTGATCCAACATGTAAAGAGTTTGGAACCTCCCATCCTCACAATAAGAAAAAAATACTGAACAAACTGGAAAGCAACAACTCTTCTTAGATCTAACAGGGAATATTGAGGTGACAGGGAAAACTGCCGCTCTGAAAACTGGGGAGACAGAGGGATATGAAGGATCACAGCTTAGCAGAGGACCACAATTGACTAGGAATGGAAGTCAGCAGCTGAAGCCAACGTCACAGTTGGGGCCAATATCAGTAGGAACAATTTAAACCTGGGTGGGGAACCTTTCTACCAAGGATATTTGTAACACTATTCGCTGGCCATACAAAATCATTAACTTAAAAATTAGCTTGTTATATTTGGTCAAACACTTCATTAATTCACCCCTAACATCTTGGTAGAGCCAGACCAAATGATATCCTGGGCCTTAGACGGCTCCCTGGCCGGATGTTCTCCACCCCTGCAAGTTTAAAGTGTAATTGAGGAATTGCTGGAGATTTTGTGTGGACCAGTTTGAGTTAAAAACTCCAAGGAGCCTCAGCCTTAGAGGCCCCCTATCCAGGTTTTCTGAGTTTTACCTACAGGAACTCTTTTTTTTTTTTTTTTTTTTTTTTTTTTTTTTTTTACCTTCGTGACGTATTTTTCTTCTTCTTTTTAAAATATATTTTATTGATTTTTTACAGAGAGGGTGAGAGAGAGAGAGAAACATCGATGAGAGAGAATCATCCATCAGCTGCCTTTTGCACACCCCCCACTGGGGATGTGCCTGCAACCAATGTACATGCCCTTGACCGGTATCGAACCCAGGACCTTTCAGTCCACAGGCGGATGCTCTATCCACTGAGCCAAACTGATTTTGGCTCCAGGAACTCTTAGCAGATTCTCACTGTGAAGATCTGAGAAAACCTCCTATTACTCTCAAAGGAAACTATTTTATCAGAGCGTAACCAATGTTGGGGATGGAATCACCCAATTCCAGCTCCCTCTAGCCTCCAACATGGGAGGAGAAGAATACACAACTCCAGCTCACTGGAAGACTGAGACCTAATCATAGGACTATATAGGATGCTTTCTTTCCTCCCACACCTTTCCATATCACAACAGTAGGGTTTTTATGTAATAACGGGATTCTAGCTAAAAGAACTGCAAGCCTCAGACCCTATTTAATGAGTCAATAAAGACATCCAACGTCAAGAAGAAACACAAAAACACCAGAGCAAATTCTAGCCTCAGACACCACAGCTACAGCAAACAAAAACACAGCCTAACTCCTAGCCAGATCCACATAAAACCTGACAATAAAGGCCTATTGTCCTAAGTTTGTTTTACCTGATACAATATGTTTGCCTTTCAACAAAAATATTATGAGACAAGTTAAAAAGAAGGGGGAAAAAATCACAGTGTGAAGAGATAAATGGGGAGAGGACATAAAGTGACACTTCTCCAAAGAAGACAAAATAACGGCCAAGAGACATATGAAAATATGCTCAACATCACTAATCATCAGAGACAATCATCAGATTAAAACAATGAGGTGCCACCTGACACCTGGCAGAATGGCTAGCATCAATACATCAACAAACAAGGGCTGGTGAGAATGTGGAGAAAATGAACCCTCGTACACGGCTGGTGCGAATGCAGATGGTACACCACTATGGAAAACAGTAGGGAATTTCCTCAAAAAATTAAAAATAGACCTGCCATCTGAATATATCCTAAGAATCCCAAAAAATAAATCAGGAAGAATATATCTCTCTATGTTCATAGCATCATTATGTATAATAAGATCTGGAAACAGCCCAAGTGCCCATCAGTAGATGAATGGATAAAAAAACAACTGTGATACACTTATACAATGGAATACTATGCAGCTGTAAAAAAAAGAAGGATATCTTATCCTTTGAGACAGCATGGAGGGAACTAGAAGGTATTATACTAAGTGAAAT